ATGCTGAATCTTCAAATGATCCCTTTTCTGTTATCCTTGCGCTGGAAGAGATGGGAAAATTTATGTATTGTCTTGTGCTACTGAATTTTACTACTGTATTGTACTACTGTGAACATCGTAGTGGAACTAATGCATCATATGCATATACTCGTGCAATGCCGGAAAGATATTTTTGTGCGTGGATAAATGTTAAAGTGAACACATTGTAATAAGCTTACACCATGAAAAACTGAAAAATTTAAAAAGTGTGTGTTCATTCACTCACTCACATAATCTTGCTTAGGTTAGAATATAGAACGAGATTGTTTTTATTGTTCTTAAGTATAAATTGAACTGGGAATCAAATTTTTAAAAATTTTTCATTGATATAAATTACAGATTTTATATTATAAATAACAAACTTATTCTATTGAAGTTTTATAAAATAGATGCAGTCTATTAATGATGTATGAAATATTGATATTACTAGCAAGAAGCAACATCAACTAAAAATATAACAACATATATATAATTTATTTATGGAATAAAATGTAATTCCAGTTTGCTGAAAAATGTTATCACAACTGTTGAAAAATGGAATGAATTTTGATGAGAAAATTGAAACTTCTCTCATCTATCCACGGATGATGGATGATCGAAACTTGTTTATAAAACTTGTTAAATTCTCTAAATAATTGAAAATGTGTTTTATTATTAATTGAATGATGTATTAAAATAAATTACCGATCTCTATAACGATTATTGCATTAATTAATACTCAATACCTTCATATATTTTATATTATTCCACTTCACAATATGAATATTTATATATGTTACGGAATTTCACATTTAATTATCATAACACTATAACGTCTATTTATTTCATGTTTTTGTCACAAGAACAGGTCAAGTAGAAGTAATTTATGAAAAAATTCAATTACACGATATCTCTCTACTCTGAAGCGAATTTTGTTAATAACACTCGGGCTATTTCGTTAACATATCGTATGCCTCGCTACACTTCATCCACAACACGCTTCATTCTTTTAACTTATTTACTTTAACAGCTGGAAAAGTTACTGGATGGTAAATTATTGTTAATGAGAGTAGACTTAAATCTTAAAAAGAAAAGGAATTTTAACTATTTAGAACGGTATATTAAAACAATGAAAAATTCTAATATAATATATATTCTTATTTGAGAAGATTTAGTTAATTTTGTGACTTAAATGCTTAACATTCCTTCTACAGTTTTCTTTATCTGAATCTTTTGAACTAATATTTGAAATTTTTTTCAAGAATAAATGATTTAAGATCTTTTCAGAAGAATAGAAAAGTGGAAACGATGATATATTAATATGACAAACAGAAGATTCTATTAGGAATTTTTCTTCGTGATATATTTTAGATATTTATTATAAATATAAAAATGTTTAGATTATACAGGGTGTTAAAAAGCATCAGCATTTATATGGAAGATAGCTTACCACTCTAAGCAAGTTAACCAAAAAAGATATATATATTTGTGAGATAAATAATCCGACAAAAACCTGGAATTTTTTAGCATTCTCAACTGTAAAGTGATGCTGCGAAGCGTGCATGGACATATAAGAGCGGCATGTAATAATGGCACGTGCATTTAGAATATAATTAGAATAACCCGATCAAAAATTATTCTTTCCTATGGCATTAATTTTACAAGACATAATTCTATTCTTAGAAATTTCTGTGTGGAATAATTTATCCAAAGAATTTTATAATAATCTAATCCTGGTAATGATATTAGAAATAAATTGATAAACATGTACTGCGTCGAATTTAAAGTATACTGTATTTATTTTTCATTCTTCAAGCTTAACCAATCGTATTTTATTTACTAATGCAACTTAAGTTTATTAGTCTTAATCGCTTTTTGGATCCGGAATCGATCTCACTGATCTAAAAACCACGGGAATTTTTCGGGGGTGGTCTATTCCAGATTTGTCGGGTTCCGTTCATGGTTTGGCCTTTCCATTGTGGATCTGGCCAAACTGACGATGGGCCTGAAAAAAAGGCCTTCTTAGTGCACAAGACGAAGAGAATTAATAAAGAAAAGTGCGACTTTGATGTGAAAATTTAAACAAAATAATAATAAATAATAAAGATTTTCAATAATTAAAAAGAAATCATCTGTTATTTAACAAGGTGTAATTTATATATTATGTAGGCACGTAATTTAATACAGTACACGTACTGTACAGTATGTGTACTGTATTAAATTAACGAATTGTTTCTTTTAAATTAATTCATGATCATGAAAGACAATATTAATTTTCCTTTTTTGTCAGTCGTAACGGATAAGAATAAAGATTTTCAACATAGAAACGTTACCAAATACAGAAAAAATAAATCGTATAGTAAATATTTTTGGAAGTTGAGTAAAAAGAATTCATACAGAAAAATATTCCCTTAGAAAACTCTAACATATCACATTCCAATGAAAGAAAAAGTCTATAATATAGATCTGTTCTCAGAATAAGTAAGATTTATTTGAAATGAAGGAACAATAAAGCTATTTGAATATTCTATGCATTGTTAATTGTTTTAAATGTAATGAATGTGTTTACTAAGCATTAATTATGAATCGAAAATTACAGCTAAATCAGAAATCTGATTTACATAATTATTTAAAGATTGATTGACGAATAACTGTGTGAACGACTAAAGGTGTTAATGAAAATTAATAAATACAATAGTATAGTGGGAAAATATTTGGATCACACCGAAGAAAACCGATTGGATCGAACAAAAACTAATTAACTTAAAAAAAATGGATTATTGAAAATAATTTCATTATTTTCTGTCTTAAATATACAAATCATGTAGACTCAATGGGATACATTATAAGTCTGACCGAACCTACAATGGGCTTAAAAAAAGGTTTAGTGGGCTAATGCAAAAGTGACTTTTTTATATAAATGTAAATGATCATAAGATAGCTAACTAAAATAATTTACCTATACAAATATTCATAAATATACTGATCATGATAAAAATTATAATAATACAGTAGGGGCCATCGACTTTAGACTATTATTTTCATCAACTCCAATGTTTTTCTTCTAAGAAATGACTAAGTTTCGCTTATTGCTATTTTGAAATATTAATTTTAAGCTAAAATTTTACATGATTTTAATTATAAATTATGATAATTCAATACAAAATATTCATTAAATTAAAATTTCTAATAATTCGAATTATGATAAATATACTGTACTAAATTTATATTTCTATATAAACTTCCGATTCCTTTGTGAATTGAGAATTTAATTGAAATATTATTTTTGTTAGTTCTAAGGGAAAGAGAAAGTAAAATGATTAAATTATCAGAAATATTCTAATAAAATTTTAAATTATTTATTTTTAATTTTAATAAATTTATTATTATCGACAAATAATAAATAGAACTATTTAAAAGAAAATTTTCCTTGAAATGCTTCAGGTGAAAAGATTATACTTGTAATTACATAAATATATTAAATAATTTATGATAATTATATCTTTTCAATTGTTTTTATTGTAAGGACAAGGTGACTATTGCTAAATATTAAATTATCTCCAAATGAAATACGAAAAAAAATTTAATCAAACGGAATAATTTATTTTAAGCAATATTAGTACTTAAAAAACAGTATTATATTGTAAGAAATTTTAGTATTCATGAATTTTATAATGATTTAAATTTGAAAAATTCGGTTTATTCATTCAATATTTCTGAGAAACGTTAGAAGAATCAAAGATTTTTAAGGAAATATTTAAATTTCTTAAGTTTCCTTTCATAAATTGAAATTTTATTGCTTTTCATAATACTGTAAGAGAGGAATGTTATTCATAATGTATCAACACAAATTAGCTTCAAGTTATAAAATTATTTAATTAAATGCATTTTACTGGAGCTATTTTAATTGTTATTATAAACAGTTGAATGGAATATAAATATTAAATATTTTCTAATATAAAACTTGGAAACATCTCTAAACATAGAAGTGAATCATTTAAATTACAAATAAAACTGTTAGAAAATAATTAAATAAAATTATGAATAAAGATTTATTTATATATTATACGTATATACAGTATATAAATCGTTTATTTATTTAATTCAAGTTTCAAATTTTCTGTATTTAAAAATACATAAAATGTTTGGTATTATATATATATATATACATTTTATGTATTTAATTACTTAATTCTTCATAATTTAAACGTGTATTTTTCGGGATAAATCTAAAATGGAAAAAGTTTATTCCTAATGTTTTCTTGCGACTTAACACAGAAACCACCATCAAAGCGAAAAAAGAAAAAACTTTGTTGACAGAAAATCAAATTTTTCTGCCGAGATGAAAGGACTTTTATCTTCATTCAATAACCTCGTATGAAATAGTTCTTAAAATCTAATTGGAATCCCACTTTTTCATAAATTTAACTAAATTGAATGTCCAAAAAAAAAAATCTTTAAGAGCCAATATTTATTTTATTCCATGAAGTTGTGGCATTCACTTTCAGTTATTGAAGAGATCTTTGCTTTAAAATCTTTAAAAAAAATGTTGACTAAAAGATTTATCATCAAAAATGATAGTAGAATAAATTTAAAATATTAAGTATATTCCAATGCATATTTTAATAAGTTTAAATTTGAAAATAATTATATCTTCCATTATTATTTTGAGAAATTAGAACAATTTCTTAACTATTTTGTATAAGTATATAATCTTTCTTTTACAAAATGATTCAAAATATTATGAATTGTTGTTTTATATAACTTTTATTCAATATTTATAAGTTGAATATTTATATAATATAAGAACCTTTTTAACCATATCCATCTTGAGTTCATCTTTGACCCACAATGGGCATTTCGAAATTTTAAAATTATTGTTATTTAAAACAATTATTATATATACTGTTATATTATTATATTCATTCGTTTTAAGAAAAACAATTTAAGAATAAAAACTAATAATAATAATATATTTACAGGTGTGTTCGATGCTTAATACATTAGAGAATTATTATTGGAGATACACATCTGCTTCGGAATTAGTTAATACAATTTTGCAACACATTGATGTAAGAGCTTCGCAATTATTTTCCAGACGTGAATATTTAGATTTATCAGAATCCATGTTTCAAATGATTGTTGGAAGAGAACTCAGTACCATTCCTGAAGTGAAGAAATTCGAAGTAATGTTGCAATGGGCCAATCATAAAGTGAACAACATGGGTCATCCAGGTAAAAAGGAAAATAATTAAGCACAATTTAAATTCAATATATTGTTAAAATAATATAAAATTAAAAGAATTTTTTTTTCTAATTCAGATCCTCAGGAATTACAATGTATGATGAACAGATTAACTCGTGATTTAAAACTACATAAAATTTCACCGCAAGACCTTATTAAGGTAAGTGTTATAAAATTATTGAGAACATAATCCCAATTGCTATTGTCACAGTTATAATAACTACTATAGAAGCATAAACGTATAATTTCAGATTGTTCTGCCAACTAAGACAATCAGTAACGAACGCATTTTAGGTACTCTGCTATATCAAGCAGACAAAGGGATATATCGTATTCAGCCTTCATATCTGGACCAATGTCGAAATCCCGATAATAATGACGATTATGAAATAGAAGAAAAAACTCATCGTCATCAATCTGTAAAAAAATAATATGATTATTCTTACTTCAATTGTAAAAGCTTCTGATATTGCAGATCTTAAGAATTTTCGAAATTAAGATTATTGCAATCTAATTTCTTCTTACACTGCCAATTAAGTTAAGAATGATTGTGATAAAAAAAAAATTATAGATTAGCCAACTTTATCCTGCATGGTCATTTATACTGTATTTAGAAACACAAGAGAGAACTTTCAGTTAAATTCCAACAAACTGAAGTATCGATATCAGTTAGATATTTGATAACATCTTAATTTGATTAAATGATAGATAATCAATGACAATTTTACTATAAATATATATATATAATAATGAATTTAGTTGTAAGAAGTAGGAATATATAAAATTCCTGTAATTAAATATGGCTTAGCCAAAAATTTATTAATAATTAAATATTTATTACTTGTTTATTCGTGAAACAATTTTTAACTTTATGTAAATCAAATGGATGCAGGAAATATAGTAGTATGTAGAACAATTTATGTAGTATCGATAGATAGTCGGAAAAATATTTTTAGTTTCCATCGTTAATGAGTAGCTGGATATTTTTAGTATATGACAAAAAATTTCTTCAGAAAATCGTTGTATGGGGAAGATAAAAACATTCTTAATTTTATAGCATAAAACTCAAGAAAAATATAGTCAAATTTATATTTTTATGAAATTCCTAACATTAATACTATCACATTAACCTGTGCCAGGTACCTTTAAAAACAAAATGGTAAAAAAGTTCTTGGTACCATGGGGTCAATTGGCCCTATGCAAATAAATAGCTATTATTGTTTATATTCTCAAATAATTTACATTGGTATTGTTTACTTTTCAAATTTTTTAAGTTGAAAGTGTTTATAATCATAAAACCTGTTTGTTAATTATTGCTGTTTACTTGTCTTTATCCCTGAAACACACCGTAAGTTGATCTCTTAGTCCCTTTTTCTGATTGTGCTGTACTTGCTGAAACTTGACTGGTTTAATTCTATCGTAAGAAATTCTTGAGCGATGCGTTTCTGAACAATGCTTGATAATCTATGAATCCATTTATTAAATGAAAAAATCTCACAGCAGTTAGAAACTAATAAGTCTTACCAGAACATAAACGTAAATAGGTTTGCATGCAAGAACCAATGAGTTACAAAAGTAATTAACACCTATTTCTAGATTTCTAACAAACAACATAAAATTCACTTTAATGATGCATTTTAATTACTATTACCCAGTGCTTAATCACTTAGTTTCTAAAAATAGGGTCTCGACGGCTGGATGGCCAAAGTGGTTAAGGCGCAGTATGCCGCTCTGGGGAATCCGGGATCGAATCCAGGCTGTCAAATACATGGGTGGTTCGTCTTGGTTATGTCTTTCACAACCCTACTCCCATTCGGTCCTGGCAGCAATGGGTATGAAAAAAGGCCCTCTTAATGCCAATAGAGCAGTAAGAGTTTTAAAAAATATTAGGCTTTAGTTTAAACTATTTTGCTATTGTGATATCACTATGAAAGATGCTGATTCTGCTCGAATTCGAAGCTATCGTAAAAAATTGTGTTCGAATTTTCGGGTTGTGGGAATTTATCATGATAGCATTTCGCGAGGTAATTAGATTGGCCAAGGCTTTGATTCCCATGCTGTTTCATACTGAATAATTGCATTGCAAGTTAAGTCCATTATAACGGATTAACTGAGTATATTCTGTGCTGGTGCTTGTGCTTTGTAATTGACAAATCTAATCCATTCTAAAATATTAAAAATTAATTTTCAATATTTCTTTTATAAATTATTTAATTGCTTTTCATATAATTATAGCTTTTAATATATTTACAGGTGTGTTCGATGCTTAATACATTAGAGAATTATTATTGGCGATATACATCTGCTTCGGAATTAGTTAATACAATTTTGCAACACATTGATGTAAGAGCTTCGCAATTATTTTCCAGACGTGAATATTTAGATTTATCAGAATCCATGTTTCAAATGATTGTTGGAAGAGAACTCAGTACCATTCCTGAAGTGAAGAAATTCGAAGTAATGTTGCAATGGGCCAATCATAAAGTGAACAACATGGGTCATCCAGGTAAAAAGGAAAATAATTAAGCACAATTTAAATTCAATATATTATTAAAATAATATAAAATTAGAAGAATTGTTTTTTTTCTAATTCAGATCCTCAGGAATTACAATGTATGATGAACAGATTAACTCGTGATTTAAAACTACATAAAATTTCACCGCAAGACCTTATTAAGGTAAGTGTTATAAAATTATTGAGAACGTAATCCCAATTGCTATTGTCACAGTTATAATAACTACTATAGAAGCATAAACGTATAATTTCAGATTGTTCTGCCAACTAAGACAATCAGTAACGAACGCATTTTAGGTACTCTGCTATATCAAGCAGACAAAGGGATATATCGTATTCAGCCTTCATATCTGGACCAATGTCGAAATCCCGATAATAATGACGATTATGAAATAGAAGAAAAAACTCATCGTCATCAATCTGTAAAAAAATAATATGATTATTCTTACTTCAATTGTAAAAGCTTCTGATATTGCAGATCTTAAGAATTTTCGAAATTAAGATTATTGCAATCTAATTTCTTCTTACACTGCCAATTAAGTTAAGAATGATTGTGATAAAAAAAAAAAATTATAGATTAGCCAACTTTATCCTGCATGGTCATTTATACTGTATTTAGAAACACAAGAGAGAACTTTCAGTTAAATTCCAACAAACTGAAGTATCGATATCAGTTAGATATTTGATAACATCTTAATTTGATTAAATGATAGATAATCAATGACAATTTTACTATAAATATATATATATAATAATGAATTTAGTTGTAAGAAGTAGGAATATATAAAATTCCTGTAATTAAATATGGCTTAGCCAAAAATTTATTAATAATTAAATATTTATTACTTGTTTATTCGTGAAACAATTTTTAACTTTATGTAAATCAAATGGATGCAGGAAATATAGTAGTATGTAGAACAATTTATGTAGTATCGATAGATAGTCGGAAAAATATTTTTAGTTTCCATCGTTAATGAGTAGCTGGATATTTTTAGTATATGACAAAAAATTTCTTCAGAAAATCGTTGTATGGGGAAGATAAAAACATTCTTAATTTTATAGCATAAAACTCAAGAAAAATATAGTCAAATTTATATTTTTATGAAATTCCTAACATTAATACTATCACATTAACCTGTGCCAGGTACCTTTAAAAACAAAATGGTAAAAAAGTTCTTGGTACCATGGGGTCAATTGGCCCTATGCAAATAAATAGCTATTATTGTTTATATTCTCAAATAATTTACATTGGTATTGTTTACTTTTCAAATTTTTTAAGTTGAAAGTGTTTATAATCATAAAACCTGTTTGTTAATTATTGCTGTTTACTTGTCTTTATCCCTGAAACACACCGTAAGTTGATCTCTTAGTCCCTTTTTCTGATTGTGCTGTACTTGCTGAAACTTGACTGGTTTAATTCTATCGTAAGAAATTCTTGAGCGATGCGTTTCTGAACAATGCTTGATAATCTATGAATCCATTTATTAAATGAAAAAATCTCACAGCAGTTAGAAACTAATAAGTCTTACCAGAACATAAACGTAAATAGGTTTGCATGCAAGAACCAATGAGTTACAAAAGTAATTAACACCTATTTCTAGATTTCTAACAAACAACATAAAATTCACTTTAATGATGCATTTTAATTACTATTACCCAGTGCTTAATCACTTAGTTTCTAAAAATAGGGTCTCGACGGCTGGATGGCCAAAGTGGTTAAGGCGCAGTATGCCGCTCTGGGGAATCCGGGATCGAATCCAGGCTGTCAAATACATGGGTGGTTCGTCTTGGTTATGTCTTTCACAACCCTACTCCCATTCGGTCCTGGCAGCAATGGGTATGAAAAAAGGCCCTCTTAATGCCAATAGAGCAGTAAGAGTTTTAAAAAATATTAGGCTTTAGTTTAAACTATTTTGCTATTGTGATATCACTATGAAAGATGCTGATTCTGCTCGAATTCGAAGCTATCGTAAAAAATTGTGTTCGAATTTTCGGGTTGTGGGAATTTATCATGATAGCATTTCGCGAGGTAATTAGATTGGCCAAGGCTTTGATTCCCATGCTGTTTCATACTGAATAATTGCATTGCAAGTTAAGTCCATTATAACGGATTAACTGAGTATATTCTGTGCTGGTGCTTGTGCTTTGTAATNAGAGGATCACGATGAAGGTTGTTTTCGACTTCACGACATCAAATTTTTGGCGTGCTTCCGCACACATCCATAAACAAGCATATTCAAAGCAGCAAGGCAACATGGATAACATGGATCGCAGCACATCACAAATACATCGAATTTTATATCAGTATAAGCCTGTATAGTGATTCAACTGCTATCTGCAACTGTCACAATATGCAGATAATGACGGACAGCAATTTGATTGATGCAACATAACGTGTTTTGGAGTAAATTTAAAAACTGATTCAGCACATTTTATAATTTGACTAGGCACTTTCACTCAAAATGGAATGTATAACTGCCATAATGTGCTCCACGATTTAAATATGTCACACTAAACACTACTAAATGTCTGGTAATGTATCTAGTGATTAGGTTTTTCGTCCGGTATTCAGCGATGGAAACCCTATGTTAATTAATCTCCTACATACGACGGTGGACAAACGGCTTGGGGTAACTATGGCAGGTTTGTTATCAGCAGGTGGCTCACCAGCTCATCCTCGCGCAGTTTCTCAGTATCTCACGGCGAGGTTCAATAACTGATGTATGGGACAATGAGGTCCTGTTCCATGATCATAGTCCCCAGACTTAAGACTATTGGATTAATTCCTGTGGATTAACCTAAAAGCACAAATTTACGACGCGTATCCAACAACGCTGAGTGATATTGGCGAGATGCAGAGGCGAATACGAAGGCTTGTAGGACAGTGACGGCCAAATGTCACATTCAAACGTCTATACCTTTTGTATTGCCGCTGAAGGCTGCTATTTTGAACACCTATACACTGCGAAATAAAGCTAATTGTTTTCGTATTAAAAACAATATTGGCTTTTGTTCTTTAGAGTCACAGATTTTGTTATGCTGAATCTTCAAATGATCCCTTTTCTGTTATCCTTGCGCTGGAAGAGATGGGAAAATTTATGTATTGTCTTGTGCTACTGTATTGTACTACTGTATTGTACTACTGTGAACATCGTAGTGGAACTAATGCATCATATGCATATACTCGTGCAATGCCGGAAAGATATTTTTGTGCGTGGATAAATGTTAAAGTGAACACATTGTAATAAGCTTACACCATGAAAAACTGAAAAATTTAAAAAGTGTGTGTTCATTCACTCACTCACATAATCTTGCTTAGGTTAGAATATAGAACGAGATTGTTTTTATTGTTCTTAAGTATAAATTGAACTGGGAATCAAATTTTTAAAAATTTTTCATTGATATAAATTACAGATTTTATATTATAAATAACAAACTTAATCTATTGAAGTTTTATAAAATAGATGCAGTCTATTAATGATGTATGAAATATTGATATTACTAGCAAGAAGCAACATCAACTAAAAATATAACAACATATATATAATTTATTTATGGAATAAAATGTAATTCCAGTTTGCTGAAAAATGTTATCACAACTGTTGAAAAATGGAATGAATTGTGATGAGAAAATTGAAACTTCTCTCATCTATCCACGGATGATGGATGATCGAAACTTGTTTATAAAACTTGTTAAATTCTCTAAATAATTGAAAATGTGTTTTATTATTAATTGAATGATGTATTAAAATAAATTACCGATCTCTATAACGATTATTGCATTAATTAATACTCAATACCTTCATATATTTTATATTATTCCACTTCACAATATGAATATTTATATATGTTACGGAATTTCACATTTAATTATCATAACACTATAACGTCTATTTATTTCATGTTTTTGTCACAAGAACAGGTCAAGTAGAAGTAATTTATGAAAAAATTCAATTACACGATATCTCTCTACTCTGAAGCGAATTTTGTTAATAACACTCGGGCTATTTCGTTAACATATCGTATGCCTCGCTACACTTCATCCACAACACGCTTCATTCTTTTAACTTATTTACTTTAACAGCTGGAAAAGTTACTGGATGGTAAATTATTGTTAATGAGAGTAGACTTAAATCTTAAAAAGAAAAGGAATTTTAACTATTTAGAACGGTATATTAAAACAATGAAAAATTCTAATATATATTCTTATTTGAGAAGATTTAGTTAATTTTGTGACTTAAATGCTTAACATTCCTTCTACAGTTTTCTTTATCTGAATCTTTTGAACTAATATTTGAAATTTTTTTCAAGAATAAATGATTTAAGATCTTTTCAGAAGAATAGAAAAGTGGAAACGATGATATATTAATATGACAAACAGAAGATTCTATTAGGAATTTTTCTTCGTGATATATTTTAGATATTTATTATAAATATAAAAATGTTTAGATTATACAGGGTGTTAAAAAGCATCAGCATTTATATGGAAGATAGCTTACCACTCTAAGCAAGTTAACCAAAAAAGATATATATATTTGTGAGATAAATAATCCGACAAAAACCTGGAATTTTTTAGCATTCTCAACTGTAAAGTGATGCTGCGAAGCGTGCATGGACATATAAGAGCGGCATGTAATAATGGCACGTGCATTTAGAATATAATTAGAATAACCCGATCAAAAATTATTCTTTCCTATGGCATTAATTTTACAAGACATAATTCTATTCTTAGAAATTTCTGTGTGGAATAATTTATCCAAAGAATTTTATAATAATCTAATCCTGGTAATGATATTAGAAATAAATTGATAAACATGTACTGCGTCGAATTTAAAGTATACTGTATTTATTTTTCATTCTTCAAGCTTAACCAATCGTATTTTATTTACTAATGCAACTTAAGTTTATTAGTCTTAATCGCTTTTTGGATCCGGAATCGATCTCACTGATCTAAAAACCACGGGAATTTTTCGGGGGTGGTCTATTCCAGATTTGTCGGGTTCCGTTCATGGTTTGGCCTTTCCATTGTGGATCTGGCCAAACTCACGATGGGCCTGAAAAAAAGGCCTTCTTAGTGCACAAGACGAAGAGAATTAATAAAGAAAAGTGCGACTTTGATGTGAAAATTTAAAAAAATAATAATAAATAATAAAGATTTTCAATAATTAAAAAGAAATCATCTGTTATTTAACAAGGTGTAATTTATATATTATGTAGGCACGTAATTTAATACAGTACACGTACTGTACAGTATGTGTACTGTATTAAATTAACGAATTGTTTCTTTTAAATTAATTCATGATCATGAAAGACAATATTAATTTTCCTTTTTTGTCAGTCGTAACGGATAAGAATAAAGATTTTCAACATAGAAACGTTACCAAATACAGAAAAAATAAATCGTATACTGTAGTAAATATTTTTGGAAGTTGAGTAAAAAGAATTCATACAGAAAAATATTCCCTTAGAAAACTCTAACATATCACATTCCAATGAAAGAAAAAGTCTATAATACAGATCTGTTCTCAGAATAAGTAAGATTTATTTGAAATGAAGGAACAATAAAGCTATTTGAATATTCTATGCATTGTTAATTGTTTTAAATGTAATGAATGTGTTTACTAAGCATTAATTATGAATCGAAAATTACAGCTAAATCAGAAATCTGATTTACATAATTATTTAAAGATTGATTGACGAATAACTGTGTGAACGACTAAAGGTGTTAATGAAAATTAATAAATACAATAGTATAGTGGGAAAATATTTGGATCACACCGAAGAAAACCGATTGGATCGAACAAAAACTAATTAACTTAAAAAAAATGGATTATTGAAAATAATTTCATTATTTTCTGTCTTAAATATACAAATCATGTAGACTCAATGGGATACATTATAAGTCTGACCGAACCTACAATGGGCTTAAAAAAAGGTTTAGTGGGCTAATGCAAAAGTGACTTTTTTATATAAATGTAAATGATCATAAGATAGCTAACTAAAATAATTTACCTATACAAATATTCATAAATATACTGATCATGATAAAAATTATAATAATACAGTAGGGGCCATCGACTTTAGACTATTATTTTCATCAACTCCAATGTTTTTCTTTTAAGAAATGACTAAGTTTCGCTTATTGCTATTTTTAAATATTAATTTTAAGCTAAAATTTTACATGATTTTAATTATAAATTATGATAATTCAATACAAAATATTCATTAAATTAAAATTTCTAATAATTCGAATTATGATAAATATACTGTACTAAATTTATATTCATATAATTTAGATTGTCACAAAATAAAAATGGAATTTTAGGTATAAATAGTGTTATATCTATTAGAATAATGAATAGAGGAATCAAAATCCTATACAATTAGATAGAGTAATTAGCACTAATTTCTCAATCTGAAATATTTTCTAAAACGATTAATTTCTTAATCTATATAATCTCTTTTTGTACTGTTACCATACATATAGTATATTATTAGATTATTTGTTAATCTAATGAAATCAAGTTTTACTAATTGTTATAATGATTTTTACCCTTCTTACTGAAACCAAACATTATTTTTCCCTCTAAGTTTCTTTTCATAATGAAATGTAAATTTGTTGACTCAAAATAAATCAACCAAATAATTTTTTTATTTTGTGTAAATTGAATGTTGTTCTAATGGTTGTTCTAATTCTTTTTATTCTTAACTTGCTTGAATTTTCTAATTCAAAAAATTTAAATAGTTGTTTCAATTCTGCTTCGTTGTATAAAGTTGATGATAATGTTTTCACTTAAATTTTCTTATATCTATATTTTCAAATTTTTACAAGATATTTTATATATATTTTCCTTACTTAATATATTTATTTAATGCTAAATTTACTTTTAAAAAATATGAATCTGCAAATTTCTATATTTCTATACAGAAATTTGGAGAATTTATAGATTTTTCTATAAATATCATTAAATTTGTGTTGATTTACATTTAGTTGTTACTCAAATGAACAATCTGTTATCATTGTAAATGTGTAAAAGTGAGAAACTGACAAATATATGTGGTGTGTCTATAGTTTGAATGTTAGAATATGTTGAATGCAACACAT